GGCATCAGACAGAAGGCGTTGAGTTACTGCAGTAGAAAACGTACCAAGTCAGCACAACATTGGAAATGACGTGTACTGGTTTTAAAGCGAGAAATTACGATAAAGTGTGTGTGGAAGTACATGCACCAGTGGAAGCAGTAGTCAGGGGCCCAAAGGAACGAAATGTGGCGTTTTTGTGGCCAAAGGTGCGCTAGCTGCAGCGTGGGCTTGCCATTCCTTTCTGAGCTCCGCCACGGCCTGTGCTCCGCCCCCAGCAGCAGCCCTTCGATTATCATTTTGATGAGGTATTCCGCTTCGAGTGCGTATCCTGTAACTTTTCCACGAATCGCTGCACCAACCAAAACATGGCCTTGACACGTTGACGACAGGCTGACGCGCATGCGCGTCAGAACTATGTTGTTCATTTTTATTGTGCTTGCGCTCCTTCTTCTCGAGTTTTTTTGCATTCATTCTATAGATAATACATTAACCACATGGCAGCCAGAGTGGTCAAATATCCCTTGATTTAGCAAAGATTTTCTGAACGCACAAAACTTTCATTTCAATTCTTTCCTAGTATTCCTTTCACTGTCGTAAACATTCATATGAAAGATTGTAGAAGCAGTTAATACAAAACTCTGTGAGTTTCAAGATATTTGTATTTGATGGAAGAACTTAGATATAAATGCTTTTAACTTCATTCGCAGCGAAAGTGATGTTTTTTGCTTCTTCGTGGTCATTATGCGTTCTTCTAAACAAAAATCTACTGCCATTTATACAGTTTAGCTATAGTTAACCTTTGTGCTTTCATCCTTGCCGAAATAATTGTGTGATATTCAAGTTTTTGTACATTTTAAAAAAAAATAAGCGGAAGTAAGGTGGTGCGGACGGCGCGCTCGCAAAACGCTCCTGTCCCACGCGGTGCAAAATGCCAAAACATGCGATGTCGTCAACGTGTTAACTGGTATGATGGTGGCGTGGACATTATTTCAGCACTTCCACTTTCACGATGAACGCACTCCAATCTTATCGTAGTCCCTCGCTATAAGGCTCACCGAAAGCAGCAAATCTAATAAGCACATTCTAATCTAGAACCAGTAACGCACAATGCTCAAACTAAAACCTTCAATGAGATGAATTTGAAGAATTAGGTGTTGTGAGAAGTTGTGAACCCAAGCATAGACATTCCGTTGATAACTGGATGGTAGGAGCGATCATCATCGAGACAGTGGCATGAGTCAAAAAAGAATACCATTGCACAGCATCCATGATGAATACAGGTTCCAGCCAGAAATTCATGCTCAGTGAATGCTCTACTGCTCTTCTGAAACAACAAAATGTAGGATATTAGGTGATTTGATAAGATCAGAAATCGCAAAAAATCAAAACGAAACGAATCAGAAGTAATTTTACGAGCATTCAGCACAAACAACACTAATCAAAGGAGAAATGCATGGGTGCGCCTGCAAGCAGAATCGCAGGCACAGCAGATGGACGCGATTCGATTTGCTGGAGCGCCGCCTCCAACCACACTGAAAAACTTGCACTAACAGTGCACTTTTGCAACGAACGCGGTCTAGCGTTCCTGCGCGCTCACCTCTTCCTCGACCTACCGCACGTCGCCTGCCCTTACAATTAGTACCTAGCTGGGATAGGAGTGTTCAATAGGGACTCTGTTAACGAAGAAAATGCTCTGTGCAAATGAAGCTATTCCTTATTACGACGTGTGTTTCCTTCAATACTTCAATTTTTACCATCTGGATCATCATAATGTCACACTTTCAACTGACTGTGCGATTTGGAGGGGAGGTTGTGTGGAGGCCTATAACGTGACGAAATACGATGATGATTACACCTTTCAAGAGTTGCTAACAACTTTGCTTTCGAGGTGAAGAAGGAAGCGACTTAATGAGTGGTCATAAAAGTGCCCTCGATAGATACTCGACGCAAATATATCCTCAATAAGGAAATTTTGACCGAAACTTAGTTAAGCTTTCGGAACTAGCCAATCTTCGACTTTTTAAAAGTGCTTTTTCTTCTTTTTTCATTTTTCTTTAATATGAGAGAGAGAAACAACTTCCTTGAAAAACCCGAACAACCTCATTACTGCTGGTAAACATAAATCTAACTCTACCTAAATCTACCACAATCTGCTCAAAAATTATGAGATGAAGGGATGGTAGCGCCGCAAAGAGAGTGTAGATTTCCAGGCTTTGGAGTGGAGAGGAGGGGGTGTGGCTCGGACTGATAACCAGGAAAAGGGAAAGTTCCTGCCGTATTTGGCCTTGAAATTCTGAAATTTAAATGTTCATATCTCGATGCAAACACAACGTTTGACGTTTGACGTTTAACGTTTGTAATAGAAACCATTCAACATTCCCCTTGTTAACTCTGTCTTAACACGTTGACGACAGCGCAGGTTTTGGCGTTTTCCGCCGCATGAGACATGGGCACTTTGGCGGGCGCTATTTGCCTGCGCGTCAGCTTGCCACACATGTAGTGTTTTTTGGAACACAAAACTGAAAAGTGGCAAAACGAGGATACAACGCTCATCGAGGGGGGGGGGGCTCCCGGTGAGGACGCGCGGTGCTTGTCTCTGCCCTCTTACCAGGAAGGTCTTTCAGGGCGTGACGAGCTTTTTGAAAACGGTCTTTTGCATGATATAGGGGCAGATGCGGGGACCACAGAACCATGTTTAATTTTTCCTGAACGGCCCTCTGAATACCAGAAAAGGGGTCCCTAGTTCGATTCCTCGTGGTGACAAATTTTTGCATTTCGAGTTGACGTTCCAAAATTCGCGCAAAATGGAGTTAGCATGAATAATTAGTACCATATTCATGATTAGGGCCGTCAGTAACCCTTACAAAAAGACTTTGACTTAAAAATTGGTGTAAGAGGTGTGACACAAGCAGCCCCACTGTGGTGTCACACCTTTTTCACCAGTTTTTTAATCAAAGTCTATTTGTAAGGGTTACTGACGGTCCTAATCATGAATATGGTACTAATTATTCATGCTAACTCCATTTTGCGCGAATTTTGAAACGTCAACTCGAAATGCAAAAATTTGTCACCACGAGGAATCGAACTAGGGACCCCTTTTCTGGTATTCAGAGGGCCGTTCAGGAAAAATTAACCATGGTTCTGTGGTTCCCGCATGTGCCCCTATATCATGCAAAAGACCGTTTTCAAAAAGCTTGGTCACGCCCTGAAAGACCTTCCTGGTTAGCAAAATACTAGTGATGACATCATTGCACAATAAGATATCCATGAGTCTGGGAGTATGGCCAGCTTGGGGAGATGGGGAGAGAGGAAGGTCGGGCGATTCGAATGACATGCGTGGAAAGCTGGAATGTGCATGTTCACACTAATATTTCTTCGTATAAATGACTCCAAGAAAGTGGTCGAATTACTGCTGAACGTTGAGCGTGAATACTTCCCAAGCTAATAGCTTCCCGCAACAGATGTCAGAAGAAGTAAGTAAAGGTTCGAAAGGAATTAACAGCACAAAGTGTTTAGAACGTTATGCAACTATGTCTAAAGAGCAAGGATCCATTTGCCGCCTATAAAAACAGAAAGGGTTAACACGCGCTGCGGAAGATGTAGAAAATTCTTTTGTATAGACTGCTTCAATGAAAAACACAAGTCATCTCATCCATAGAACCGTAATTCCTTGACATTATGTATCACATTGTTGTTTGCATTTATATTTTGTTTTTATGCTTGTTTACCCCAAAATAGTAGTCGAAGATTGAACTAAACGGGAAATTTAGTGAGGTTCAGAAAACCTTCGCTTAACTAAAGCATATTCAACCGCTTCATGGACCACACCGTTTACAGGCATGATGATGTATTATTATAATAGTAATAAAAATTTCGGAAGAAGTCGGACATGTGCGGAAAAAAGGGTACCAAGATGTTTCGATGAAGAACGCGTCAGAATGTCCAATGCGGTGCCAAATGTCTGACGCGCTTGCGCGTCAGCCTGTCGTCAACGTGTTAAACTAATCTGGTGGATGGTCTGCTGCTGGGAGCGGGATACGGGGCAGAGTCAACCCTGCGTTGCGCAGTTCTCAACGGCCACGTTGCGCAGTTTCGCCCGATTAGACACGTTCTCTCGCGCGAACATTCACACTCGCATGCTCGAGCCGTCTGTGTCTCCGCCCATACAGCGTGCGTTGAGGATCTCTCAACGTGCCGTTGCGAACTGCGCAACGCAGGGTTGACTCTGTCGGGGATCCCTGTGATGAGTTATCAGTTTTCATCATCAAAAACTCAACGCTGACTGCTTCTTCCGGAAATGCCAACTTTAAGGGTGACCTAATAATTATGAAACTCACTGTGGTCATGCAATTTGAAGGCGGATTTCCCGATGAAAAAGCAGCCTAATAGAAGTTAAGCTGTAGATACTCAGTGATGTAC